ATCGAAGGACCTGAAGGAAAACTGAAGGGCCCCAAGTTCAAGAAGCCCGAACTGCAGTTCAACGTCCCCAAAATCTCGATGCCCGACATCGACCTGAACCTGAAGGGCCCCAAAGTGAAGGGGGACGTCGATGCTTCCCTTCCCAAAATCGAGGGTGAGCTGAAAGGCCCCAAGTTGGACATCAAAGGGCCGGAGCTCGAGGTCGAGGTGCCGAAGGTTGATCTGGAAGGAAAAGCTAAAAAATCCAGATTCAAACTCCCCAAATTTGGTTTCTCCGGCCCCAAAGTTCAAAGCCCTGAGGTGGATGTGAAGCTGAAGAAACCCGAGGTGGAAGTGTCTGGTCCCAAAGTCGAGGTTCAGGCTCCGGATTTGGACGTCCAGGCGAAATCCAAAGGCTCCAAGTTCAAAATGCCTTTCCTGAATATTTCCTCCCCCAAAGTGTCGATGCCGGACGTGGAACTGAACCTGAAAGGGCACAAAATGAAAGGGGAGTTGGACCTGTCCGGCCCCAAACTGGAAGGGGAGCTGAAGGGCCCCGAGCTGGACATCAAAGGCCCCAAGGTGGACGTCGAGGCCCCTGATGTGGACGTTCACGGGCCAGAGGGAAAAATCAAAATGCCCAAGTTCAAAATGCCCAAATTTGGGCTCAAGGGGGAGGGGCCAGAGGTGGACGTGAACCTGCCGGCGGGAGAGCTGGATGTGTCCGGTCCCAAGGTGGACATTGAAGGTCCGGAGGTGGATGTTGAGCTGCCAGAGGGGAAGATCAAAGGCCCCAAGTTCAAGATGCCCGAGATGAACATCAAGGCCCCCAAAATCTCGATGCCCGACATTGACCTGAACTTGAAGGGCCCCAAAGTGAAGGGGGACGTGGACGTGTCCCTCCCCCAGGTGGATCTAAAAGGACCCAAAGTGGACGTGGAAGTTCCCGACCTTGACGTCGAAGGGCCCAAAGGAAAAATTAAAGGCCCCAAATTTAAAATGCCCGAGATGAACATCAAAGCCCCCAACTTGTCCATGCCAGACCTGGACTTGAGCCTGAAAGGTCCCAAGCTGAAAGGGGGGGTGGACGTCGACCTGTCGGCGCCAAAACTTGAAGGTGACGTGAACGTGCCGGATATTGACATCAAAGGCCCCAAAGTGGACATTGAGGGGCCAGAGGTGGACATTGAAGGGCCTGAGGGGAAGATCAAGGGCCCCAAGTTCAAGATGCCCGAGATGCACATCAAAGCCCCCAAAATCTCGATGCCTGACGTCGACTTCAACCTGAAGGGCCCCAAGATCAAGGGTGATGTTGATGTGTCACTCCCTAAGCTGGAGGGTGACCTGAAGGGCCCTGAACTGGACATCAAGGGCCCCAAGGTGGATATTGATGCCCCTGACGTGGACATTCACGGCCCAGAGGGGAAGTTCAAGATGCCCAAGTTCAAGATGCCCAAGTTTGGGATGCCCGGGGTCAAGGCTGAAGGCCCCGAGGTGGACGTGACCCTGCCAACAGGAAACCTGGATGTGTCCGGTCCCAAGGTGGACATTGAAGGTCCAGAGGTGGACGTTGAGCTGCCTGAGGGGAAGGTGAAGGGCCCCAAGTTCAAGATGCCCGAGATGCATTTTAAGACCCCCAAGATCTCGATGCCCGACATCGACCTGAACCTGAAGGGCCCCAAAGTGAAGGGGGATGTGGATGTTTCCCTTCCTAAACTGGAAGGTGACCTGAAGGCCCCAGACATCGACCTCAAGGGCCCCAAAGTTGACGTTGACCTTCCTGATGTTGAGCTGGAAGGACCTGAAGGAAAACTGAAGGGCCCCAAGTTCAAGATGCCCGAGATGCATTTTAAGACCCCCAAGATCTCGATGCCGGACTTTGATCTGAACCTGAAGGGCCCCAAAGTCAAGGGGGACGTCGATGTGTCCCTGCCCAAGGTGGAAGGTGACCTGAAGGCGCCGAATGTGGATGTTAAAGGTCCTGAGTTGGATGTTTCTGTCCCAGATGTTCAAATTGAGGGCCCAGAAGGGAAGATCAAGGGCCCCAAGTTCAAGATGCCCGAGATGAACATCAAGGCCCCTAAAATCTCAATGCCGGACTTTGATCTGAACCTGAAGGGCCCCAAAGTGAAGGGAGATGTGGATGTTTCCCTTCCCAAACTGGAAGGTGACCTGAAGGCCCCAGACATCAACATCAAGGGCCCCAAAGTCGATGTCGACCTTCCTGATGTTGAGCTGGAAGGACCTGAGGGGAAGATCAAAGGCCCCAAGTTTAAGATGCCTGAGATGCACATCAAGGCCCCCAAAATCTCGATGCCCGACATTGACCTGAACCTGAAAGGCCCCAAATTGAAGGGAGATGTGGATGTGTCTCTTCCCAAACTGGAAGGTGATTTGAAAGGTCCTGATATTGATATTAAAGGCCCGAAAGTTGATGTTAATCTTCCTGATGTTGAACTGGAAGGGCCTGAGGGCAAGATCAAGGGCCCCAAGTTCAAGATGCCCGAGATGAACATCAAGGCACCCAAGTTCTCCATGCCTGACGTCGACTTCAACCTGAAGGGCCCCAAGATCAAGGGTGACGTGGACGTGTCTGTCCCTAAACTGGAAGGTGACCTGAAAGGCCCCGAATTGGACATCAAGGGCCCCAAGGTGGACATTGAGGCCCCTGATGTGGACATTCACGGCCCAGAGGGGAAGTTCAAGATGCCCAAGTTCAAGATGCCCAAATTTGGGTTTTCTGGCCCCAAAGTTGAAGGCCCCGAGGTGGATGTGAACCTGCCGACAGGAAACCTGGATGTGTCCGGTCCCAAGGTGGACATTGAAGGTCCAGAGGTGGACGTTGAGCTGCCCGAGGGGAAGGTGAAGGGCCCCAAGTTCAAGATGCCCGAGATGCACATCAAGGCCCCCAAAATCTCGATGCCTGACCTGGATCTGAACCTGAAGGGCCCCAAAGTGAAGGGGGACGTGGACGTGTCACTGCCAGGAGTCGAAGGAGAACTGAAGGGTCCCGAGGTCAGTGTCGCCGCCCCCGATGTCCACATCGACAGCCCCGAGGGCAAATTCAAACTCCCCAAATTCAAGATGCCCAAGTTTTCCATGCCTGGATTTAAAGGGGAGGGGCCAGAGGTGGACGTGACCCTCCCGAAGGGCGACATCAACATTTCGGGCCCCGAGGTGGACGTGGAGGCTCCTGATCTGAGCGTGGGAGGGAAAATCAAAGGTCCCAAATTCTCCATGCCCGAGATGCACATCAAGGCCCCCAAAATCTCCATGCCCGACGTCGACTTCAACATCAAAGGGCCCCACATGAAAGGAGACATCGACGTGTCGGCCCCCAGGTTGGAGGGGGACCTCCAAGCCCCCCAGATCGACGTGAAAGGCCCCAAAATCGACGTTGAGGCTCCCGATGTGACCCTGGAAGGGCCCGAAGGGAAACTCAAAGGCCCCAAGTTCAAGATGCCCGAGATGAACATCAAGGCCCCCAAGTTCTCCATGCCCGACATCGACCTCAACCTGAAGGGCCCCAAGGTTAAGGGTGACATGGGCGTGGCAGCGCCAGCGCTGGAGGGGAACCTGCAGTGCCCAGACCTCGACATCAAAGGCCCCAAACTGGACATTCAGGCCCCAGAGGTGACTGTGGAAGGGCCCAGGATCAAGATGCCCGAAATGCACGTCAAGACCCCCCAGATCTCCATGCCTGACATCGATTTGAACTTGAAGGGCTTGAAGGGCAAAGTTGACGCCGAATTCCACGACCCAAAGCTCGAGGGGGGTCTGAAGGGCCCCGAGGTCGATATCAAGGGGCCCAAAGTTGACATCGAGGGCCCGGCGGTCGACGTCGACGGTCTGGATGGAAAAGTGAAGCTGCCCAAAATGAAAATGCCCAAATTTGGCTTCAAAGGGGAAGGTCCCGACGTGGACGTGAACCTACCAAAGGCCGAGGTGGAGCTTTCGGGCCCCAAGGTGGACCTCGACGTCCCAGAGGTGAGCCTGGAGGGGCCAGAGGGCAAAGTGAAAGGTCCTAAGCTGAAAATGCCCGAAATGCACGTGAACGTCCCCAAAATCTCCATGCCCGAGATAGACTTGAGCTTGAAAGGCCACAAAACCAAAGGAGGCTTTGACCTTTCGGCCCCGAAGGTGGAAGGTCACCTGAAAGGGCCCGAGGTTGACCTGAAAGGCCCAGAATTTGGGGTCAAAGGCCCTGAAGTCGATGTCGAATGTCCGGACCTGAGCGTCGAGGGCCCCGAGGCCAACGTCAAACTTCCCAAGTTTAAGAAGTCCAAGTTTGGGTTCGGGATGAAAAGCCCGAAGGCCGAAGTGGATTTACCCGAGGCGGAGCTGAGCCTGGAGTCACCCGACGTCAACCTGTCCGGAAAGGGCAAGAAGAGCAAATTCAAGATGCCCAAAATCCACATGAGCGGCCCCAAAGTGAAAGGGAAGAAGGGGGCGTTCGACGTGAACGCGGCCGGGGCGGAGCTGGACGCGGATCTCAACGTCGCCGGCCCCGACGTGACCGTCAAAGGCGACGCCGCCGTGAAGTCCCCCAAGGGGAAGAAACCCATGTTCGGCAAAATCTCCTTCCCGGATGTCGAGTTCGACCTGAAATCGCACCGGTTCAGAGGGGAGGCGTCCGCGGGGGTCCCGAAAATTGAGGGGGAGCTCAAAGCACCGGATCTGGAAGTTTCCGTGCCCGCGGTCAAAGGGGACGTCAAGGGGCCGAGTCTCAGCGTGGACCTTGAAGCTCCCGATGTGAACCTGAAGTCCCCGAAGCTCAAACTCCCTGGGGGGCAGGTGGGTGTGGGGGACGGGAAAGTCGGGGGGGACCTGAAGGGCCCCGGGGTCGAGGTGGCCGTTCCCTCGCTGCCGGATTTCAGCCTGAAAGGACCAAAGGTAAAAGGCGAAGTTGGCGTTTCTGGAGCAGAACTAGAAGGTCCCGAGGGAAAACTGGGATGGCCCAAAGGGGGGAAAGCGGGTCTGGGGCTGGAAATGCCGGATGTGAACTTGGATGTGTCGGTGCCGGGCGTGGGGGGGAACGGGAGCCTCCCGTCAGCCGACGTGAAGCTCAGAGGGCCCCAAATCTCCGGCCCTGAGTTTGAGGGAAACCTGAAAGGACCAAAATTAAAGGGAGAGTTGGATGTCTCGGGCTCCGTGGAAGGGCCGAACGTCACCCTGGGCACACCCAGCGTTGACCTCGGAGGTTTGGGGGGGAAGATGAAGCTGCCCAAGGTGCCGGATCTGAGCACCAAGGGGGGCGTTTCCTGCTCCGTCCCAAAAGTGGAGGTGGGCTCCCAGTCCCCCGGGGCCAACCTCGCCGTCTCCGCCCCGGATTTGGACGTCAACCTGAAAGGACCAAAGTTGAAAGGAGATTTCGGCGTCAAATCCCCCAAAACATCCGCGGACGCCGACGCCGACTTCGAAATCCTCGGGGGCACCATCAAACTCCCGTCCCTGAAACTCCCCCAGTTCGGCATCTCCGGCCCCGGCGTGGAGGGAGGGGACGCGGGGGTCGCTCTGGAAGGTCCCCAGGTGAAGGGGGGGCTGAAGGGCTCCGCCCTGGGGCTGGAAGGGGCCGACGTGGAGTTGAAAGGGCCGAAATTCCAGGTGTCGTCTCCCGGGGTCTCCGTGCCGGACGTTGACCTGAGGCTGAAAGGACCAAACGTGGATGTGTCCGGTGACATCAAAGGCGCAAAGGTCGGCGTGGAGGCCCCTCGCATGGAGCTGACGAAGGCGGGGACGGGCGTCCACCTCGATGCTCCCGCCCTGGAAGTTTCCGGCTCGGGGTTGAACGTCAACATGAAAGGGCCGAAGGTCAAGGGCGGGGCCGAGGTCGGGGGTGGAACCTTCCAGCTGTGCGGCCCCAAGGTGGGCGCGGCGGGTCCCGAGGGCGGCCAGGTCAAGGTGTCCTTCCCCAAACTGCGGATGCCCAAGTTCGTGTTCTCCGACCCCGAGGCCAAGGGCCGGGAGGTGGGAGTGGACGTCGAGTTCCCGGGGGCCGACGTGGCCGTGGCGGCCGAGCCGGAGCCCGATGACGCCGACGGGAGGCTCAAGAAACCCAAACTCAAGATGCCCAAGTTCAACTTCTCCAAGCAGAAAGGGCGGGGAGGCGGCGGCGCCCCCGGGTCCCCCGAAGCGTCGGGGTCCGTCTCGGGATCCAGGGGGGACCTGAAGAGCTCCAAGGCGAGTCTGGGCTCCGCCGAGGGCGACGCGGAGGCTGAGGCGCCGTCGGCCAAGGGCAAGTTCTCCCTGTTCCGCAGCAAGAAGCCGCGGGCGCGCTCGTCGTCCTTCAGCGACGACGCCTCGGCCGCGCGCGGCCCCGAGGCCGATCCCAAAGCGCCCAAGGTGAAATTCGGGACCTTCGGGGGCATCGGCTCCAAGAGCAAAGGTTGCTACGAGGTGACGGCGAGCGACGAGGAGCCGGGGCGGGCGCAGGTCGGGGTGGGGGCGACCCTGGGCCCCCCCAAATCCCGCCTGTCCTCGTCCTCCTCCTCCTCCGAGGGCGGCCCGCGCGGCCCCGGCGTGGAGCTGACGGTGGCCAAGCGCAAGGAGTGAGGGGGTTGTACATAGTCCCGGACGGGGGGGCCCCCGCGTGTACAGAGGGGGGGGTTGGGGGTCCCCCAAATTCGGGGAGGGGCGAGAGGGGGGGTCCCTCTGTTCGTGTAGGACCCACCCGGAGTTTCCCTTCCCTTCCCTGCCATCCCTTTTTTGATATTTTTATTGGGTTTTTCCCCCCCCCACCCCCATTTCCCCCCAATATTTTCAGTGTTTGGGGTCGTGGAAATGAATTTTTTTTGTTGTTGTTTTGGGGTTTTTTTGGTCCTTTTTTTTTTTTTTTTTTTTTTTTTTTTT